CTGTTAAATCAAGAGACACTCAGAAGTCTCAGATTCTTTTCACTAATTGTTCATCTTGTTTGTTTTTTTCTGGGTTGTGTTAGTGTTACCTGTTTTGTTCAAATGCGTTTTCTGTTTTTCAATTAAACATAATAGTTGTCTTAGCAATAGTTAGGGCAGCGGTTCCCAACCTGTGGGCCGCGGCCCCTAGTGGTCCGCGAAGGCATTGCATTATTAGTTTTTATTAATCTTTTTCTTTTTTTTACACAAACGTGGACATAACAATAACATATAGGAGATGACATTCCTATCTCAGACAAAAACAAAACAAAAACAGAAGAAATAAAGATGCAGTCAGTAGGATCACAAAGGTTGACAACCAAAAACCACCAAAAACACAACATGGCAAGCAGATGTATTGTTCCTTTAATCCCACTCTTCGTTAGAGCTAATTATTTCCCATTTCATGGCGTGTTGAGCCACCCTTTGATTTTTTGTGGCAATACATTTTCCAAAATAAATGTAATCTACTTTTCAAACACCTTCAATTAAGATACTCCTTGATTGATTGTTGTATGTATTTTAGCCAGAAGAATAGTTGTATTTATTAACTCTGTGCGGTGCTCATCTAAAAGCTCAAATAAAATATTAAAGGGTGTAAATGTAAATTCAATATTTGCCGCCAGATGGATGGTGATATCAGTGGAAAGTAAAAGATTAGGTTTTATTTGTGCTAGACATTTGATGGATTCTGTGATAGAGTAAAGACAGTAAAGGGTCATTGGATTTGTTGGTTTTCGTCTTGATTCATGTTTTAATTGAGTATGTTGTATTGCCCCTGCCTAATAAATCATGATGAACATGTCATCATATTGTCATCAAGAAATCCAATAATCCTTTCTACAACGTCAAACTATTATGTTACAGTCTAATAGATTGTTATCACGCAGTATTAATAGCATTACCTTCTTAAAAATCAAAGCACATCGTATCACATTTACATTATGATCTAATAAAAAGGCTGTAAAGTAGATAGAGAAATTCAAAGTCTGCAGAGAGAGAGTTAATCTCTGTGTGAGGAGAGAGAGAGAGAGAGAGAGAGAGAGAGAGAGAGAGAGAAATATGGTACAAGTTGAGTCAGCACACTGAGTGTTCTCCCAACAGGAAAGGAGGGATAGAGAAGGAGAGAAAAGAGGGAGGGGGAGAGGGAGGGGTGGGGCTGAAGAGGCAGGACAATTGGCCGAGCCCCGGGATGACCTGAAGGAGAGGGAAATGGTGTGTGTGTGTGTGTGTGTGTGTGTGTGTGTGTGTGTGTGTGTGTGTGTGTGTGTGTGTGTGTGTGTGTGTGTGTGTGTGTGTGTGTGTGTACACTGCAGTCTGCATGAAGCCATCGCAGTCCTGTAAATATGCACGTACGCTTCGTAGCCTTCTGGAAACTTGTTTTAACTGTTTAATTATAGTTCTTTGAGGCAAAACTTTAAAAAAGGAAGTAACACATCCGTTTTGTTTGGAACTGTGTTATAATAAGAAGGATAACATCAATATATCAGCTGACACCAAAATGTTTGTTTTATCTTCACTGAGCTCACATTTTAACAATCAATTTCAATTCAAGGATTTGAATCCCCCTTCTAACTAAACCCTGGCTACATTGTCTTTACAAACCCCAAGGAAGTGCGTCAGACATTGAAGACAATTATTTTAGTTTCCGTATCTGTCTGTGTCGTTACTGGACCCTAATAGACTTTTTCCCATTGACTTACATTGGGTAAGAGACGTCTCTATATCAGCCACATTTTCTTTAGCTAAATATACCCAGTATGATCCGCCTTTTCTAAAGAATCTTCACTAAATTGTTTTTGAACTGAAAAGGTCTGGAGGCTTTGTGAAAATGTGCAGGGCTGGTTCACAAACAACTGTAGCTAGCAAGCTAAAGGCTAACAGGCAAGCTTTGCAAATAAAGGACCATGCTAGCTCTTGTCAGTTAAAATAGCTGTGTATTCTCATCGTACATTTGACCAGGTAGGTCCAATTGAGTTTGGAAATGAAAGCTAGCAAAGAAAACATAAACGTTCCAGAGAGAAGGAAACAAAAAGGTGCTAAAAATAGACGACATGTCTAAAATAAGGCTTGAAGTAGGAGAACATACTAGGAGTATATAGTCACCCAAATGCAATTTCAATAGAGGTTCAATAAAGTGGATTGTATACAGCTATGTGTTTTCAATTCATCACTGTCCCTCAGTTTGGTATTTTTTACAATGCAAATAAGCAGTTCAATGTATGATCAAAGCTAAAGAATACGTAGAAAATGGTGCGACAAGGATGTGTGTTGATTTACTACACCACAGATTTACAAATCGCTGTGATTCCATTTAAATGAATGGATTTTACAACAAGATTTCACGGTGACTTAAGGATGCATTAGCTAGTGTAATGTGCATGCATGTAACTTCTGATGAGCTGCTTGAAAAACACAGTGTGACGCAGCTCAATAGGTTTTAAGAAATGTAGCAACAGTCAAGGCGAGATGATTCTCCTCTGTGTTTGTTATTGCATCACATTCTGTATCCAGGCCAACTTGCAGTCTAACATTGAGTTCTCAAAAAAATTGTTTACAAAAAAGATTTGACCTCATTCTGAAATTCTCATGATCAGAAGCTGTTTTTGCCAAAAGGCTGAAACAAAGCACTGAGAAAAACAGAGACAGTGAAGCAGAAAACAATCTAAAATAGAGCAGTGGTGCTGAGGAGAGAGTGGCTCCTGACTGACACGGCAGCCGACCAATCGTGTGCAAGGGAGGCAGCACTCTGAGCCAATCATCTCCAGCCTGCCCCGCACCCTCTCTCTGTGCCTATAGTGAGAGCAGAAGGGGGTGGGCAGCAGCTTAAGAGTCTGGGTGGGAGCAGTGTGGAGCAGACAAAGACTCTGCAGCACCACATCCACCCTCCACCTACAGCCCAGGACCTAGTCCCTTAAACAGGAGAGGCCTGGCTGCTCATCTGCTCCCTGCTTCCTCCTCTTCCTCTTCTTCTTCATCAGCACACTCACTGTGGAGCCATGCCTGAGTGCTGGGACGGGGTGAGTGTAAGGGCGGAGTGTGGGATTCCTTCATTTGTGTGTCACATTGTCAGAATACATTTTGCATGCATTTCTTGTAATGCATTTGCCGTCAAATGGTACATTTGTTGTATTTCTTGGCAAAAATAAATAAATAACAAATCATTTTTAGCTGGCAGTCAAAAAAAGATGTTTCAATGATACATGGGACTATCTCATATTCTGCTATGGGAAGAAGAAAGTGCAGCATCAACATCAAAAGGTCATTCTGTGAGTCTGGCCCACTGACACACATAAGCTCGCAGACACACATGCTGAGCAATGCAATGGTTAAACACATCAACATGAGTGTGTGTTTGTGTCTGTGTGTGTTGGTGTGTAGAGGAAATGTTAAACCTTCTGCAGTACCATGCATTTGGGCAACCTTGAAACGAATGAGTAAAATGTGTGTGTTAATATGTGTGTGGAAAGAAGGAAAAGAGCACGGGGCTTTGTGCTGGAAGATCACCATTAAATAAATCAACCACGTTGCTGTGGAGCATCAACAATGCTTTGTCATATTTTGGACAGCTGAGATTCCTCTCAGTGTTTCCTGCTGGATGTCTGAAGGTCACCATGCCCCAGTGGAACGTCTCAGAGTCCAGACACACTGTGAACAAAGCCCCTGGTGCAAATTAAAAGCGGATTGCAGATAACTCTAATGGAGAGATAATCTGTCTGGATTAACTCATAACTGCTGGCTGCGTGACTTTATGCTGCCGCGGCGATTATACCGTTTTTTGGCAGTTGGCACACTTTGTTTCTGTGCTGTGAATCACTGGGAGTCATTTCATTTGTGAACGCTTTTTGTTATAAATAGCAGAGGCTGTTAAGAGATGCTGCAGGTTGACAGAGGATCATCAGACGACTGTTGCTGTGTCTGAAGGGTGGAAGGTGTGGAAATGTGCTGAGAGGAGGACATAATGATCCATCTGGTCTCTGGTTCATTTGAGTATTGACAGCAGTGGCATCATTTTACCGTCAAAACCAGGCATAACAACACCAAAACAACATTGTGTGTGTGTGTGTGTGTGTATATGTGTGTGTGTGTGTGTGTGTGTGTGTGTGTGTGTTGCGCAGCTCATTTGAACACATGTCTCGTACCACCATTTTGAGTTTTCTGGCTCTGACCATCTCGTGCTGACAAAATGTGGGTCATGAGAGGTTTGGAAACGCTACAAGCCAAATATTTGGAGCCTCTATAAACCTTTAGAGATCTTTACTTTCATTATTTTGCAAAACTGTATTGCAAAAACAAAATGACTGCATCACTTGCATTAGGTTGTTTATCATGTGGATGTTGTAGCTGTAAGCAGGATGTTGTTATCATTGTTTTGCTATAAAAGGCAAACTCCTTAATGAATAAGTATATTCAAACATCCATACTATATGAATATAATTATATTTGGATATAAAACTGCCAAGCTACAAACGCCTCAAACAGAAGAACCATTCTATTTTAAGAAGATAAGGTCTCTACTGTATGTTATTTTCTATTTCAATTGTTGTATTGTTCCCTTCGCTTTTTGGCACCAAACGGCTTTATCTAATATTTGCTTTATTTTCTGCAATATACCTTTATAGTTTACAGTCTTTTTAATCAACTATTGTGAAGTATAGCTATTGCTGGTCAATGCACATCCAATCATTTACTCCAATTTGCACTTAATTGAAAAGGAGCGTTTGAGAAAAGTTATTACAGTAATAACTTACAATGCACAGACAGACTGATGCGTCACGATGTGAAACACCAGAGACTGAGGATCAGGATTCAGGTGCAAATGTTTTCACTTACAGCTGACAGTGTGCGAACACCAGGTGAGTGACAGTGTGTGTGTGTGTGTGTGTGTGTGTGTGTGTGTGTGTGTGTGTGTGTGTGTGTGTGTGTGTGTGTATGTGTGTGTGTGTGTGTGTGTTTCACAGGAACATGATGTTGAGACTCCTTATGGGATGCTGCACGTGGTGATCCGCGGCGCACCCAAAGGAAACAAGCCTGCCATCCTCACCTACCACGATGTGGGGCTGAACCGTGAGTATCAATGCAGAGTGTGTGTGTGTGTGTGTGTGTGAGGTTAGGTGTTTCTACACTTATCAGAAGTGATAATTGGACTCCATTCCTGCCTGCGCTCTGCTTGCGTACACACACTTTAAGTTTATGCAAACGATCTGGAAATGATGGAAAACATTTAGCCTACGGGAAGAATTTAATAAGCTTATACAAAAGGTATTTCCTGCAATGATATCCGTATGTTTTTCATCATAAAAACAGGATATGGTCCATAAGTCTAAAATCTGACTGTCATGATGTTCATGTTATTCTACCACCTTACAGCATACTCTATATGCCAGATCTTAACAGGGTTATTGGTCAATAACTGAAGGGAAGGATAATATATGAGCCTCTGTAGGACAGATAGCGATGAAGAAGCAATGAGAGAAAGCCTATCAGGGGGGTTTTCATGAAGTACACTGAAAAAAACGTTCTTTTCACTATCTCTGTAAAATGACTTTGAGCACCTGTAAAAGCGCTTACAAAATAAATCTATTATTATTATTAAACTTTGACTTTAATTCGACTTAATATTTTTGCTTTCAACTAACCTAATACAGTTATGTGAAATCTGCTGACATAATACATTTAATTAAAGTCAGCGTTTCAGTTTTTTCAGTGTGTGTGCGCCGACAGAAACGTACAAAGAGGAAGGGATGATGAGGCAAATGAAAGGGTGTGCGAGAGGCAGCAACAAAATGAAGGTCAAAACCCCCCCCCCATGCTGCGGAGGGAGGCTGGCAGGGTGGAGGTGAAACAGGGAGGAGAGTGTGTCATGTGTGTGTATTTGTGCATTATTGATCAGCTATCGCATTAAAATAATTATCAAACAACACAGGGTAATACAAAATAAAAGTACAGCAATAAAAGAAAAATGCCATAAACGTGATTTGAACACACACTGTAAAATAGATGGAAGATAAATAAATACAAATATATCAAACCTATGAATATAATAGTGTAGAAAGTCATGTTTGTGATGCTGCTGCAAACAGCGGAACCAGGCTATTCACTGCCTGCAGGAAGCAGGAGAGCAGGGGGTGAAAAGGGTATTACTCAGATCCTTTATTGAGGTAAAAGTACAATTAATATGGTCTTAAAATACTCCATGACAAGCAAAAGTCCTGATTTCAATGTTTTACTGAAGTAAAAGTATAAAAGTATTAGCATCAATAAGTAAAAATACTCATTACACTGAAACAACTGAAACATTGACTTGAATTAAATGTATTATGTCAACACATTTCACATAACTGTATCAGGTTAGTTAAAAGCAATCATATTAAGTTGAACCTAATATTTGTGAATCTGTTTTTGAAAATCAAACATTAAGAACAATTGGTAGATTCTGCCTTTTAAAACGACTCCTACTCAACAGATGGCACAGCGTCCTGCCAGATTAAAACTCCTCACCTCTTTCATCACATCGCTGTTTATGAGTGTTTACGCTGTTTTACAAGCTCACAAACACTCACCTTCTCCACCTCCTTTACTCCTCCTCTCTGACCAAGCTGTCATCATAATTGATTGGTTGAATTAGCAGTTAGAGCCTGAGGAGGAAACACTGTTTCTGCGAGGCTTCTGTCGGTCTGACACACGTGAGCTGAAGTGGGCCGAATCCAGAGCGAGGCATGAACAGAGCTGACGGACACACATTTTCAGAGTGCACTGTTTCTACACTGGATCGGAAAATAGAGGTCACTCTCAAAATATTATTTTTTCCATTTTTATTTTTGAAAAACAGGATAAGATTAAAACAGGAGGTAAGGTCTATTGATATTTCTGTGCAGAACCAAAAGCTTTTAAAGGGGGTTAAAGTTGCACGGTGAACATTTACTGAAAACAGGTGTTGCGCTTGGTTGTGGCCAAATGGCTCCACAGCACTACCATGAAACAGGAAGTTGATTCAATTTGAGATTACATTTTCACCAATGCTCCAAACTTCATAACTTCATTTAAAAAATGTCCCAAATTGGGATCAATAAAGTACCATCTTATCTTATACTTTATGAGAGTCCCACCCTGAAGGCTTTTACTGGTCAATATTAAGTCACTCATAACACCACTGACAACAGGAAATCAATCCAATGTGAAAAACGATACCCGATTTACATACAAATCCCAATGTGTGGTCTACACATGAGCGACATAGGAAGTGATGCAAGATGTTCAAAATGTGCTTTCCATGGTCATAGCTGTCACTACGCGATCTGCAGCTCTGCCCGATCTGCAGTGCGCATGTGCGAGATGGTCCGCCATATTGGACAACTCCGGACGGCAACCCAAGTAGGACAACATTGACACAGTGGCTTTTGGCAAAGCTCAACAGGAAAACACGAGAGAGATGAGTTATTGTTATTACAACGTGACTTCACTATTATTTAACAACTCTTTTTATTGGGTTCTTTTATTTGGGGTTAAGTACATTGTCAGAATAAGTGAGACATGAATGTAACTTCTGTTAGACAGCCATATGCCATACATTTTTGCATACATTCACAGTAAATATGTATTCAGTATGATGGCTGTCTAACAGAAGTTAAATCCATTTATCACTTATTCTGACAATATACTTAACCCCAAATAAAAGAACCCAATAAAAAGAGTTGTTAAATAATAGTGAAGTCACGTTGTAATAATAATAACTCATCTCTCTCAAGTTTTATTTTTCAGCTTTGCCAAAAGCCACTGTGTCAAGTGTCCTACTTGGGTCTCCAATATGGCGGACAATCTCGCACATGCGCACTGCAGATCGGGCAGAGCTGCGGATCGGGTAGTGACAGCATTGCACTCCAGCCTCCACCTGCCCGTTCATCGCTGCAGCTTCAACGTTTAAAGTGTAATTACAGCCCCTCATATCCCCCTTCTTTTAAAAGTACGCTACAACAAGGAGTCATACAAAATAACTTAGCTGTAACACAACATATACCATTTTATGACCAAAACACTGTGATACAAGTGAAGTGGTGCTGTTCTGTAAATCTATGCTATCATCTCTGCTGCCTATTGGCTAACGTTAGCGGTTATTATCCCAGTTTGAATTGTTGGGTCCAATCAAGATTACAAATGTTACCAAATCAGTAAAGCATTTGAGCTTTACTGATTTGGCCTGGGTCAGAGCCATCACAATGCTAACTGTTGACTCTTTGTCTTATGTAGCTTACTAGCTAACACGATACCACATTTAAATAAAAAAACATTTGTAGATAGAATGTAGATTTAATTCACATTTGACTGAGGTTAGCAGTTCCCCCTGCTTCCAGTCTTTTAGCTAAGCTATAGGCAAAAGGACCAGAACCTCCTCATGTACTGGAACAACAGGTATGAAATGATAGTTTGTTAGATAAGTAATGTTTGATTAACCAGAATATTTCTTCCCTTAAGGCAGACAGACTGTCCAAAATGGCAGTAGTTCATTCATAGACATAAACATTTGCTACAATAACATAGGACCAGAACATCATTAAGGACAGATCTTAAATATGTTATATACGTACTGTATTTACATTCTTCATAAACAGTTCCAAAAAAGGCAGGTATTTTACCAATGGTGGCTTTAAATCTTCCACTATGTGTCTTTAGTCCATGCTTACTTCCTCTCCTCCTCCGCACTCCCACAGACAAGCTGTGCTTCAACTCCTTCTTCAACAATGAGGACATGCAGGAGATCACCAAACACTTTGTAGTGTGCCACGTGGACGCACCAGGGCAGCAGATAGGAGCCTCACAGCTGCCCCCAGGGTACACACACACACACACACACACACACACACACACACACACACACACACACACACACACATACACACACACACACACACACACACACACACACACACCATTTTCACTGAAACATTAACTTTAGGACGATGGGAACCGGAAGTGGTAAAATGCTAACATATTTCCAGGTTTTAGGACTCATTCCTGCACCACTCTTTTAATGATTTGCTCAAACTCAGTTTTAAGTATTCCTACATGCTGTCTCATTATAGGAAAAACAGATGATCACACACATAAACAGCATGTGAAGCGATGATGATGATGATGATGATGATGATGATGATGATGATGAAGAAGGTGTGTCCTTCTCTCCACAGGTACCAGTACCCCACCATGGACCAGTTGGCCGGAATGCTGCCCACTGTGGTGCAGCACTTTGGGTGTGTGCTTTAAATCTAACATGTTCCACATTGATCAGACAGCAAACAAAGCCAATGTTTTATAAGAGCCACCTGCAGGGACATCATGTCCTCTTCATGCTGTGAAGACCAGGCATTATTGTGTTGTTGCAAAAACTACATCAATCAGCAGATTTATCGCTTCAATCTTTGCCTTTACACCAACACTTTTAGTACATACAGAAAGATCATGAGCATGCAATAGTATTCAAGTTAATGAGGAATTACAGAAGTTAGACCACAGTTCATAGAAACAAAACCAGTCAACACTTTTTATTATATTCTGAAGGATTTAACACATTTGCGTTGTGGCATTGTTGATTTGCTAGCCTGCCTTTTTGATTCCTGAGCAGTTTCTTCGTTAGATAACATCGGCTGCCAACAGGATGTAATTTTAGCCGGGACATTCAGTACCAGCCACAGATCAACACTTGGCTGCAAACAATCATATGATGCAACAACATATTGTTACGGTTATCTGAGAGGACCCAAACGCAGGACACGGCAGAGTGTTACAAAGGTTTTATTTTGAGGAGAAGGAGCGTGGAGAGTAATCCGGTTGCTAGCGGCTGTTGAGGTGGAGGAGCGTGGAGAGTAATCCGGTTGCTAGCGGCTTTTGAGGTGGAGGAGCGTGGAGAGTAATCCGGCTGGGGTTTAAACAACGATCTGGCGCTGACAGGTTGTGGAGCCTCCGCTGATATGCCATTAGTAATGGCTGATGGAAATCAGGTGTGTAGCAGAGGAGGGTGCCCAACTGATTGCAGCAGGTGGAGGTTGAGCCGGGAGCCAGGAGTGACAGCCACCACGCCCACACAGACAGGGGAAGGGAAAACACTCACAAGGGAGATGGCTGGAGAATACAACCACCACACATATAGGCACAGCAGAGTGTCATTACACTGTCAGAATAAGTATATCCATGTTGCCTCCATATACACTGAACAAAAATATAAACGCAACACTTTTGTTTTTGCTCCTATTTTTTATGAGATAAACTCAAAGATCTAAAACATTTTCTATATACACAAAATAACCATTTCTCTCAAATATTGTTCAAAAATCTGAAAAAATCTGTGATAGTGAGCACTTCTCCTTTGCCGAGATAATCCATCCCACCTCACAGGTGTGGCATATCAAGATGCTGATTAGACAGCATGATTATTGCACAGGTGTGCCTTAGGCTGGCCACAATAAAAGGCCACTCTAAAATGTTCAGTTTTGCTTTATGGGGGGGGTCTGGGGGGGTCCGAAAACCAGTCAGTATCTGGTGGTGTGAGGGGTAGGGTTAGGGTTAGGGTAATGTTGTGAATCGAGTGGCCTGTGTTCGTCGTCCATAACATACGCCTGCCCATACCATAACCCCACCACCACCATGAGCCACTCGATTCACAACATTACCCTAACCCTACCCCTAACCCTACCCCTGCCCCTACCCCTCACACCAGATACTGACTGGTTTTCGGACCCCCCCAGACCCCCCAATAAAGCAAAACTGCACGTTTCAGAGTGGCCTTTTATTATGGCCAGCCTAAGGCACACCTGTGCAATAATCATGCTGTCTAATCAGCATCTTGATATGCCACACCTGTGAGGTGGGATGGATTTTCTCTGCAAATAAGTCAGGTTCATTATAACTTGATTTTAACTTTCGTGGGATTTTTGTGGGGATTTGCTAAACTATACATTTTTGGAAAGGGTATTGTATAAGGATTCAGAAAATCCATGTTTCCATTTGCCCAGATGTCTATATGGCGGCCATATTGGAATTTCCAAAATGGCCGCCTTAAAATGTAGGTTTTGTAATATCTCGGCTTCTAAATAAGCTGGAACATTGATTTTAACTTCCAAACCTACATTTTCAGGTTCAAGGAATCAAATGGTGGTAGTTACAAAGGTACTACATTTTACAACATTAACCCTTCGATGCATGAGTCGGTCGAAAATGACCTGTGCAAAGTTGGTTGGGCCTGCTGAAAAGCTGGAAACTGAAAAGAGGACCAGAGTTGTTGACCGAGCCACACTGACGGTGAGCCAGAATATCATGTATGGGTTCAAATCCAATGCACAGGTAAAGTACAAGTCAAGCAGGAATCAGCATCATTTAGGTCACCCCATGCACGACAGAACCCACAGGTTTTGGGACTGGCACTGACTATCCACCATGACACACGCAACACAAAGCTGATGAATCTGCTCAATGCTCATGGCTACTCTGTTTCACATGGTCGTGCCCTTCTCATGGAAACTGCTCTGGCCATTGCTGTTGTAGAAAACACCAGAGCGCACCAAGTCCTCTATGTACCACCATTCCTGAGGAAGGGGACCTTTGTGTTATTTGTCAGATAACACAGACTTTACCGAGGACACTCGTTATGGGAAAGGAACCACCCACGGGACGATCACTGCAGTGTACCAGAAGATTGATCCTTCTAAATAACCTGTTGCAGAACCTCAGAGTCTATCAGTCACTCCCTACCATGTAGACATACTTCACTGTGACAAGCCAAAACCGCAGCATGCCAAGAGGTCAGAACAGTTTGCCATCAGCAAGGGGATCTCAGAATCCTATCAGCTGACACATCTAGGATGGGTTGTTGCATCTGTATTATCCAGAATGAAAGCAGGAGAAACTTCCAGCAATATTCCAGGCTGGGCAGGATACAACTCACTGTTGTCTGAAAGCCTTCTCTTGACACAGGTTGGAGCCTTGCCACTATTGCCAGATGTGGCACACGAGTGGTCAACTCTGTTGACTGTGATCATGCAAGCAAATTAGCTGAGGAAGTTGGCAGTTGGGGAAGATCACCCCACAGTCATTACCTTTGACATGGTCCTCTATGAGAAGGTGGTGCAGCTCCTAGATGCCAGACCTGACCTGAAACAGATGGTTGTTCCCAGACTGGGTGAGCTGCATGTCGTCATGGCTGCCCTCAGAGCTCTTGGTGCCTCCATGGAGAACTCGGGTATAGATGATGCCTGGATGGAAGCAGATGTGTATGGTCCTGCCACAACAAGGCAAATCCTGAAATGCACACACTACAAGCGAGCTCTCCATGCCCACATCTACTTGTATGTAGCACTCTATGAAATGGCTCTGGAGGAGTTCTTCAAGGACAACCCACAACTGAAATATGTGTGCCTGAAGGCAACAGAGGGAGTAGAAGCTGCCTGCTCGGAGGGTAAAGACATCAAGGCTGAATCTGTGAAGCAAGTCAACAGGACCCTCCTGGAAGCCACTGCTGAAGTCATCACAGCATTCCAAGAATGGGAGGAACAAAAATCCCAGCATGCGATGTTCAAGACCATGATGAGCTACCTACATCGGGTGGAAACAATCCTGTTCTTCGGAGCAGCAACTTAGAATGCTGACCTTGAACTCCATCTGCAGGCTGGAGAAGCACTGAGCAAGCTGTTCTTTGCCATGGATCGCATCAAGTACAAGAGACTCTGGCCAAGATACATCGCAGATATTCATGACTTGAGGATCAATCACCCTCAGACCTGGGAGGAACTACACGCAGGTAATATATCTGTCACCAAGAGTGTCATTCCCTTTGTGTCTGTTGGGGCAGACCACGGATGCGAACATCTGAACAAGCTGATGAAGATTCGCTCTGGGATTATTGGCATCTCTAACAATGCCAATGTCAGACAGAGATTTTTCATGGTCACACCAGAACTTTCACGTCTGTCGAAAGAGTTCAAGAGTCAATTTGACATGGAAGCTGACAGAACCACAGAGCACCATGAGCTTGGGCCAAGTGCAGTCAAGAGGGCACATGGTACAATCGACAAGATCAAGGCAGCCATACTCAGTCATGGAAACCCCTTTACCACTGAAGGTGACAAGTTGTACAATGTAATCACACTTGCCTATATCCCAGATGAGTATGTACCACTTGAATGCTGATGTCACTGGCCAGAAGTTGTATGAAGACTACGTGTCAGAGCGGATCAATGGAGATGTAAGCCTCTGGGCCCCTGTGAAGAAAGTGAACAATAAGATGTTCCTGTCTGGGAACAAGAAGATTACAGTGAAACTCAGAGACAATACTGTGGATCTGAAGGAGACCAAGGACCTGTTTGCAAGGCTGATGGTAATTGCCAGGTCAAACCGAGACATCAACCAGAAAGAGGCCATAGGAAACTATGAATTTACTCTAACACCAAGGGCACTGTTCGTTCTTCTAATGGAACAATCCTGCCATGCCATGACAAGTCCAAGTTAATCAATCTCCTTGAGAAGCTGACAAGAGAAGATGTGCCCCATGAAGACCATCAGCTGCCTCAAGCTGGAAGTACTACCCACCAAGATGCAATGGATACAGGATTCACAGACACCACATCTACTGATCAGCCAAGTCGAACGATAGCACTGGTGGACGGCATGGTGCTTGTGCAGAGACTGAGCAAAAAAACAGCCACTGTAGTGACAGTTAAGGATCTGAGTGGCTGCTTCAATGGCAGACTGATGTCACTAACAAGAGATTATAATGAAATCATTCTTGTGTTCGACACATACAGGACAGATTCTCTGAAGAGTGCAACCAGAGATAAACGAAGACAAGGAAAAGTTATCCAGTACCAAGTCAGAGATGACACCAACATCAAACACATCCCACTGAGCAGGTTCCTCTCTCATGATCAGACGAAGGCCGATCTGACTGACTATCTTGCAGCCAAAATTCTAGAATTCTAGAATACAACAGGGGATCCTCCAAGCTGATCATCACGTCAGCTTCTGGGAACACTAGGAGCAACAAAGACCTGCTCTTTGAAGAAAATAACCACGAAGAAGCAGACACGCTGCTGATCCACCAGGCTGTGCTGGCATCACACCGAAACCCAGCTGATGTACAGTTGATATTCTTCTCACCAGATACAAACATTCTAGTGCTAGTCACAGCAAACTATGATCTCTTGCTGAAGAACACATCAAATTTGATGGCCTCTGGTGTTGTGCAGATTGAACCACTGTGGCGAGCTCTAGGTAAAGAAAGAGCAAAGGCATTGCCAGCTTTCCATGCATTCACTGGGGCCGACAACACAGGCAGGTTCTCCCGTATAGAAAAGGCAACCTGGCTGCAGATCTATTTAAAAGCAGATGAAGATATTATCAATGCTCTGCAGGAAGGAATGCTGTCTTCCTTTGTATGTGCAGCCTACTCACCCAAGGGTATCAACATAAAGACAATCCCTGAACTATGATGGCATCTCTTCTGCAAACACAGGACAGAGAGTGACAAGCTCCCTCCAACACTTGGAGCTCTGAAGCAGAATATCTTGAGGGTCCATGTCCAAACCAGGGTATGGGCACAGGCAGCCATTGCTCTGCAGGATCCGCAGCTGGACCCCCTGCATAATGGGTACTTCAGAGACTCGGTTGGCATGAAACCAACAACCACAGAGGTCCTCCCAGCCGAAAGGCCATCATTGAGATGGTCCAATGCCGATGTAAATCTAACTGTTCTTCTGGAAGATGTTCCTGCAGAGCTAATGACTTAGCCTGTACTGATATGTGTCAGTGCAATAGCCAGTGCCAGAACGACGATGATTCCCATGCCGTGATGGATGAAAGTGTTGATGATGATAGTGATGATGATGCATAGATGTGTATACATTTAGATGTATAATGAAGAAGGTTGCTTCTTTTCTGTGGTCACAAAATGTGCATGTCATGATGATACTGAAGTTCACAATTTTAAACTCAGTTTGATCAGCTAATGTCAATTATCTGTTGAGTCCTCAATAAAAGTTATGTTAACATGCAATTTAGTAAGTTCTACCTAATTATTGTTGGCACCATTATATTCCTTGATCCTGAAAATGTGGGTTTAGCAGTTAAAATCAATGTTCTAGCTTATTTAGAAGTCAAGACATTACAAAACCTACATTTTACGGCGGCCATTTTGGAAATTCCAATATGGCCGCCATATATTACATTACATTACATTGCATTTAGCTGACGCTTTTATCCAAAGCGACTTACAATAAGTGCGTTCGACCAACAAAATACAAACATGAAGAAAACAGAATCATATAAGTACATCAGGCTTCATAGAGCAATAACATTTCAAGTGCTACTCAACTGACTTTAGATAAGCCAGCCCTTTATTAGTATATAAGTGCTTTGTTAATAGTTCTATCGCTCGAAGTGGAGTCGAAAGAGATGAGTTTTCAGTCTGCGCCGGAAGGTGTGTAAGCTATCTGCTGTCCTGATGTCAATGGGGAGCTCATTCCACCATTTAGGAGCCAGGATAGCAAACCCACGTGTTTTTGCTGATGGGAACTTGGGTCCCCTTCGCAGCGAGGGTGCAGCGAGCCGTTTGGTTGATGCAGAGCGGAGTGCACATGCTGGGGTGTACGGTTTAACCATGTCCTGGATATAGGAAGGGCCAGATCCATTCACAGCATGGTACGCAAGTACCATTGTCTTGAAGTGGATTCTAGCAGTTATCGGAAGCCAGTGAAGGGAGCAGAGGAGCGGAGTGGTGTGGGAGAATTTAGGAAGGTTGAAGACCAGGCGAGCAGCTGCATTCTGGATGAGCTGCAGAGGTCGGATGGCACATGCAGGTAGACCAGCCAGGAGGGAGTTACAGTAGTCTAGGCGTGAGATGACGAGAGCCTGGACCAGAACGCTTTCTGGGTCAGCTGGGGACGCATCCTCCTGATGTTGTAAAGCGTGTATCTGCAGCAGCAGGTTGTAGCAGCTATGTTTGCAGTGAAGGACAGGTTGTTATCTAGGGTCACACCCAGATTCCTTGCAGTCTGAGTCGGGGAAACAACAGAGGTGCCAATGTTGATTGTTAGGTCAAGAGTGGGACAATCTTTTCCCGGAAGGAAAAGCAGTTCAGTCTTGTCAAGGTTGAGCTTGAGGTGATGATCAGACATCCACTGAGAGATGTCAGCTAGACAAGCAGAGATGCGTGCGACGACCTGGGTCTCTGAGCGGGGAAAGGACAGAATTAATTGGGTGTCGTCAGCGTAGCAGTGGTATGAAAAACCATGCGGGCTAATGACTGATCCGAGCGAGTTTGTGTACAAGGAGAAGAGGAGGGGACCAAGAACAGAGCCCTGAGGGACCCCTGTAGTTAATTGACAAGGGTCGGACTCGGACCCTCTCCAAGTAACCCTGTAGGTACGGTCTTTCAGGTATGAGGTGAGGAGGGAAAGTGCAGAGCCTGAAACTCCAAGTGCTTGGAGAGTGCGAAGGAGGATCTGATGATATAAACACCTGGGCAAATGGAAACATGGATTTTCTGAATCCTTATACAATATCCTTTCCAAAAATGTATAGTATTGCAAATCCCCACAAAAATCCCACAAAAGTATATAGTGAACCTGACTAAAAGGAGAAGTGCTCACTATCACAGATTTTTTCAGATTTGTGAACAATATTTAAGAGAAATGGTTATTTTGTGTATATAAAAAATGTTTTAGATCTTTGAGTTCATCTCATGAAAAATGGGAACAAAAACAAAAGTGTTGCGTTTATATTTTTGTTCAGTGTATACATCTATTACACATTATTCATCACTAAACTATTGCCTGTAATGGATTTTCTTTCTAGATTTAAGAGCATTGTTGGGATCGGAGTTGGAGCTGGAGCTTACATTCTGGCCAAGTTTGCTGTGAGTCACATCCTGATGACCTAAAGTGTACTTTACTGATCAGAATGAGTCTAGTACTGGATTCACACACTCAGGGTTGTGAGCAGCCTCAGGTCTCACAGATGTGTCCATGTCTTCTGCTCACAGCTGATCTTCCCTGACATGGTGGAGGGTTTGGTCCTGCTCAACATCGACCCCAACGGAAAAGGCTGGATTGACTGGGCTGCCGGCAAGGTGCCTTCTCTTACTGTGTATCCCTTGTTTCAGTGGGTGCTTAAGCATTGGAATCCCAGGGCAGCTTTTTATTTTCTGACAATGTCCTCTCCCCCCAGCTGACAGGTCTGACCAGCGCTCTGCCAGATACTGTGCTGCCTCACCTCTTCAGCCAGGTACGCTCTGGGTCTGGGAACTCAGATACACAGTAAATGTTTTTAGGTGCAATTACAGTTTTCTTTATGTTCAGATAGATGGATACAGTACTTTATTAATCCTGAATTGGGAAATTATTTTGTCAAGCATTACACAAGTTAAAACGTAGTAAAAGATAGAATAAGATACAAATGTGATACAAATTAACATTAGCAG